CCTCTGTCTTCACCACGCAGGGAGGAAAAAACAGCAGGCCTTTCAGAGCGGGCCGGGCCAGTTAGCAGAATTTATGAGGCTGTCAGAGCGGGACCAGCGGCCCGGCTCGGCGCTGCCATCCATCCTGACCTGCAGAGTGGGTGGAAACAGATAGATGCCTCCCCCCGGGAGAGTTTGTGGGCTCGACTTTCAGCTCCACTCGTCAACAAAACAAAAGAGACAACAGGAGGACTCTCAGCTACTACCACACCGAACTTCAGCTCAACATCTGCCAAGCTGACTGTGTTACATGCATATATCCATTTCCTAAGTTCACAAGGCTGTGGCGGCCATCTTGAATCGGGTCGACTCCAGAGTTTAATCAGTCGTTTGCACACAGCTGATTACTACTTCCTGAGAGTTTTATCAAAATCCATCCAGAGGTTCAGGAGATATTTTGCTAACAGACAAACGTGACTGGTACTAACAGTTAGCAGGTAAGTTTTAAAAGCAAATCTTGCATGCCCCATTGGAGCTAAAAGTATGATTTACAGATGACTCTCAGCTACTATCACCCCCAGTTTTAGCTCAAAATCTGTAAAACTGACCGACTTGTGGACATTTTTGTGTTTTTTGGTCGATTAACTGCGGCGGCCATCTTGAATTTGTTCGAAAAATGAACGATTGGATCGAGAAACAAAAAAACTCAAAAAAGTAAAACTGTGAAGCTTTGAGTTCAACCTGAACAATGAAGTGTTTCTTCCACAAACAGCCGAAACGTCCACCCACCTCCTGACGGCTCAATGAAGGCCTGAACTCTGACCTTTAGGCTCCGCCCCCTTTAAAGAGCAGAAAGAGCCACAGCTGTGTGAGGACCATCACCTCTCTCTGCTAGAATCCTTTTTGTTTTTCACACATCGCATTTATCGCCTCATTAAGTTGCTCATTCGTGTCCAGAAATTTAGTGGCTAAATCTGCGACCGGTTCCCAACTAAAAGGTGCGTTTGTTCGGCTACGGAAACAGCCGAAGTGACTGAAAGCATGTCAGCTACGGCAACATCTGTTTTGGATGAACACGTCCAACAGGTTTGATGTGTTGGTTTGTGTTTACGCTCAGAATTATGTAAATAAATAAATAAATAAATAAATAAGCTTTGTTTACATTGAGCGCAGACCCACATTTCTGAAATTTACATCCACATTTCTAGAAAACTACTACAGTAAACACTAATAAACTGAAACTTCAAGAAATATTTTTTGTTTAATTTTATGAGGAGTAGGTTTAAAAGGTTTGTCTTATTTTGAAAGGTAAACATAAAAGCATTAATCTGCAGTTTTTTTTTACAATTAATATCCTCAGAACACAGATTACTGAACTTTTTATTTAAATAAAAACTGAATTTATTGACTTTGTTAAGGAGTTTGCACTTTCAAAGCTATATTTTGTACTTTTATTTTGAAAGGTTTTACAGTTTACATCAAAATAAAATGTGACTTGCAGTCCAAACTCTGTCTTACGTCATAAAACAAAAACTGTTTTTTCTTGTTTCCAAGCTTCTTAAACAGTTGAAGTCATTTTAAAAATACTTTCTTGACTTCTAAATCTCTCAAACTGACTAAAAAAAACTGTTTTGTGAAGGGTTTTAATTTGACGGTTCAATCAAAATAAAACTGCAGCGTTAAGAAGCGCAGGGAGATTTGTTGTTTCAAACACGAACCGTAAACTCAGTGAAGACGATGATGAGGAGGAGGAGGAGGAGGAAGATGATGATGAAGATGTGAGAACAGGTGGAACAAACAGCTAAAGTTCTCTGAAGGCTCAGTTTGGGATTAATGTGCTGCTAACAACACACACACACACACACACACACACACACACACACACACACACACACACACACACACACATTATCAAAGCAGTTGATAAACTT